GGGGGGGGGGAGCGATGCCGAAGTCAACTGATTGGAGATGCATTCGTCTGATCATGTGTGGTCGCTTGATATAGGCGCATAATCTGCGGAGGCATCGGGCAAACAGGTTGCGAGGAATATCCAGTAGCACTTGCCTGTCTTCTTGGGAGAGTATTAATGGGATTTTTCGGGTCAGTCAATTACTTATGATTTATGCGGTTTCTTTTTTGTCATCTGCTGTTCGTAGCTTGGAACGCTAATTGTGGGAATCGACTGTTGCGAGGATGAAAAGTTTATTAGATGGTTAGGGTATCTGTGGGAATATCTCAAGGAATTCTTTGGGTTGGTAGTGGTAGAAAGGAATTGACATTTCAGATTTGATTGAAAATTCAATGAAACAACATTTTTAGCAGCAGGAAGAAGGGAATGCCCTGAGGGACGTGAATTTTTCATCAAATCGGGAATAATGGGTATCAAATGTCGGTGAATTTTCAATTTATTGAAAGCTTGTGAATGTATTCAAATAATATAATAATAATAATTGAACAAGAATGTATTGATTTGTCTAAAATTAGTGATGATACCACTGAAAATTAATTATGCTTAGTGCCGTCGAGACTAATCGAGAATTATTTTGAAGAGATCATCACGTTTTGGAAAAACATCGAAAGTTTTGGAATCGTCGCAATCTCGAAAGACATTGGATCGGTGCATCTCGTCACAATTCCGGGAGGATTTATCTTGCCTGGATCTCGAGATTTTCTGTTTTTTAAGTTCACGAGACGAGACGAGGCAGATATCGAGACAAACATTTGAAAAACAGAAAATACTGAAACTCAGACGTGATGGATTCTTCCAAGTTCGTGACGAGATGCACGGATCCAATGTCTTTCGAGATTACGACGATTCCTAAACTTTCAATGTTTTTTTAGACCGTGATGATCTTTCCAAAATAATTCTCGTTTATTCTCGACGGCATCACTAATTGAGCTATCCGAAATAAATTTACAACTGTATTTGAGTCGTTGTTTTCTTCAACTTCTCCCAGCCAAAAACGGTCCGAACAGCGGTATAAATTCAAACGAAGAATCGTCAATCTTCAAGTATTTACTGTTTTCATGATTTTTTTATGCATTTCCAATTTTTCGATATATATTATATTCATGATGTAACGCGGAACGATAACGATAAACGAGAATTTATTTGAGTTCCGTGAAGCGCAAACATTCTGAGGTTTAAGGGGAAACTGCTATGAGTTTTAAAAGTCGCGGGCTATTGGATCGAGATTTTTCATACATTGAAGATCGATTATATAGGTCTAGAAACGGATAATTAGTGCAACAAATTAATTGTTTATTGTTCGTTTGCCCCGCAGACGCTTAAAATGTTTGAAATAGTCCAGGGCCTCCAATTTTTGAGCTATAGAGGCTTATTTCTTAAATCTTTGAAAAATGTGTACAATAACAACAACGTACTAGGTTTGTGAAATTCGACTCTTCCACAGCTCACTCGGTTTTTTTTTAATATAAAAAATTGCACCGATCATGTAAAATAGCAATAAAAATGTTTCTGAAAAAATCGAGAATATATTTTGAGTATTTTGACGATCATTTTTGATGTCACGACGCCACAAAGGGGTATAAGTTATGCTGGGTAGCGGTCCGTTGGTCGAATGTGAGGAGAGAGAGCTTTACCGTCATCCATTGGATAAGGCGAACGTGAAGATTGGGTTAGATTGACTGTAGCCATTCTGTAACAATAACAATTACGCCAATATAACAACACTAGGGGGCTTCGCCCCCTGCTCGCTCCGCTCGCCAACCCGGGGGGGCTTTGCCCCCCCACTCGCTTCGCTCGTTCCCCCCCCCCGTCCGTGTGACCGCAGCAGTGTGACCGTACCCATAAACATCTTCCATATGAGCACTCCCTAATATAGTAATTCTCCATAAATATCGATATCCCCTTTATGACCACCCCCTCATATAGACATCTCTTATAAACACACGCACCTCCTCGTATAGGCACCCAGCGTCCCCTGAATTTGAGCGTCCCCTGAATTTAAGCGTCCCCTGAACTTGAGTGTCCCCTGAATTTCTCGCCTTATTTTTTTATTTATATAGAGAGATAAATAATGGTTAGTGAAATTGTTACGTGAAGATTGGGGTAGATTGGCTCTACACGGAAAAAATATATAATTATTTTTTACTATGTTAACATAGTGATCGAGGATCATCCTCGCCACACTCAAAATTTACGGTTGAACATAGTAAAAATTGTGAGTCGGTATAGTAGAAAGTGGTAGAATAAAAGCAAAATTTAATTTGAGACGAGTAAAAATTCGGTCAAGATAAATCAAATTTTAAAGTTGTTTCCGCATGGTTCTCGATTTCTATGTTCACATTGTAATTCTTAATTTTATATTCTCTCCGTCTAGCCATTCTGTGATTGGTCCAGCGTTTGACCTCTCTTGTCATGTCATTAGCGATTTTAAAGCATTTGAAGTCGTCAACTTTCGATAATCAATCATTAATTAACGAGCAACATTTCTAATGTTTGTACGGAGAGAAAAGTTGGATGAAAAACACCCAGAAAATCGTGACAAATTTCACTATACCAGTGATAATTGCGGAGCGAAATGTAATTCAATGAAAAAATACTGGTTTTCAATGGATATCTTACGATTTTCTCGGTAAAAAACAAATCTGTAGATGTAAAAATAATTCTCTGTTACAGAAAAATTATAGGAGAAATTGAAGCAATTATTCACGTTCACAGAGATAATTTTTTATGGGATGCAGGGTAAATTTTACAGTTTCGGTAGAAATCAGCTTCACATTCTGTAAATTTTCCCGGGTTAACGGAATACAATTTACTATTAATCTCGCACTTTTTCCCCTATTTGCTCCATGATTGCATGACTTGTTTAGTAATTTTTCTCCGTGGATAAATGAAAAATTAATCATTTAAGGCCAAAACTTGAGATTAAAATTTTTTGGAAAATTGCTGCGAGTTCCCTATTGCTGACAAAAGTACTGAATTTCAGAATTTTGCATTCGTTAAATTTCACAATCACGAATCCCTACTAATTGGGGAAAGATCTCTGAAAATCACTGACATGGTCCTGAAAATCAATTTTTTTTTCATAGAAATTTCTAAGAGGTGTCCCGGAAATTTCAGCGTGAATTTTTCCACAGTATGAAATCCACTCGAAAAAGCAAATATAAGAGGACTATTCGAATCAAATTTACTGCATATTAATCACCTTCCCTAAAACTCCTGATCATTCTCATAATTCAACTCCGTTTAAAACATTTCGCATCTTCCTCACATCTCAAAAAACCGTTAACCCGGCGCGGAGGATCAATAGCAGTAACAAGAAAAAACCGGCAAAATTGCGCAGAATGCCAAGAAGCCGATGATAAGTGATGTTATTCCTTTGAGTTTGAGATGCGTCAATCACTCATGCTCCTAATACTAGTCACAGTTAAGATCAAGTAACTCGCACGCTGCATAACAAAATTCTGAACTCCGGAATTGGTCTCTATATGTCGAACAAATAGTATGCGGGGTTCTTTGGACTTTCGACGGATTGTCATGTTCGGGAGAAGAGGTGGTCGGGCGGGCCAACCGCTGGATGGACAGCTGAATTCCATTGACCTAGAAATCGAAGCTGGCTTGGTAGGCACAGGTTGTGTTGCGTGACCGATTTACGTGGACGGTTCAACGAAAAAGCGATATTTCAAGACTCATTCGAATGATTGTGACTAATGTAATCTCTATTTCACGGAAATGATTAATTTACACTGAGAAAGAAATCATTTTTACCAAATATCCATTTAATTCAGAGAAGTATTTATTTTTTTAATGCCGTATTTCTCCAGTCAAGTTATTCCTCGGCAATCCTCAGTAGGTGTCAATTATGACAATTATATTGCTCCAGAAGATCACCATGTTAGTTATCACCTTGAGTGCACTCCCTCAATAATTATCGACGTTAAAAAATTAATCG